CAAGCTTCATTATATATGACTATGAGGAGTGTAGAGGTGAGCAGTAGTGGAAAAGTGGTGCAGCGGTGAGAAGTAGTGGCTGAAGGTTGCAGTGGCAAAGAGGTGATCAATAGAGGAGGTGCAGAGGTGAGCGCTGGATGAGAGGGTATAGAGGTTTGTGGTGAATAAGGGGTGCAGAGGTGAGCAGTGGATAAAGGAAATCAGAAGTGTGCAACATAGAGTACAGCATACAGAATGCAGCCGTCAGGATTATGTAATATACTGTGCATCCTGCATTCTCCTGAACACTATATTCTGTACACAGTGCTGTATGGTACACACCTGCACTCTATATGCCCATAGTAATTATATACTTCTGACCAAAGTTTTAATTGTCATAACAGTTTCTTGTTACTTAATAGTTTTTAAAGAACTTAATGAAGTTATTTTCAGGGCATGCCCAAAGTGAACATCTCTGTCTATATGCTGTGTGCAGAAAAGTATTGTATATGTAATAGAAGAGTTTCAGATTTTAAAAATATTATGAGATTTATATGTGTCTGTGAATCTCTCATTTGTGACACAGTTTTTAAAAAGACTCACCAGATCAAGCTTTTTGATTTGGATGTTTTTATTAAAGCATGCATAACAGATACATGTGTGCTATTCTTTAATTGGTTCTTTTTTCCTTTATACGATACATTCTGCAAAATAAATAGTAATGTGACATTTCCTAGAATGTCAGATTCTACTATCTTCCAGTCCCCCCACAGCTGTCACAGCTCATCCTGAAAATGCTGGAGCCCCTTGCTGATAGCATGAATGAATTAGTGTTTTAATCCTGCGACCCTGATTGCTTTGGTGAGAGTCTCTCCAGAGCTGTCAGGGCTGCAGGATGAAAAAACTTTCATTTATTCATACTAACAGTAAGTGGCTCCTGCTCTTAACCTGTGCACTATGATTATTAGTGTGCGGCTCTGCAGGGAGCTGTACGTATGATTCAGCTCACAAATCTCTGCTTGCATACAGCTCTGTAGAGACCCCTTGCATATGTATACCCTGATGATGATAACACAGAGGATGAAAACAGGGGCTGCTTGCTGAAATTAATGAATGAATATCGTTTTTTTTATTCTGCAGCCCTGACAGCTCTGGAGACTCTTTCTTGAGCTCATTCATTTACACTATCAGCAAGAGGCTCAAGCGCTGTCAGCATGAGTCATGACAGCGGCAGGGGGCTGGAAGAGAGTAGGGTCCGACACTCCCAGAAGGGTCGGATTCCTGTCCATTTATAATTAAAGTAAAAAAGTAACTAATTAAAAAAATATTACATATGTATCTAGTATGCTTCATCAATAAAAGCACTTATAAAAAAAATAACTTCTGAGAGGTTCTCTTTGAAGCATATTTTGTGTGTACAAAGACTGCAGCATATGTGTGCTGTGTATTCAGCGAGTAGGCTCAGCTCCTATTTAACTATACCCCTTTAGGCTCCTCCCACCATCAGCACAGTGTGGCCACACCCACTATTCATACTTTGACTTGCAGTGGCCAGGGGTACCCTGGGATGGGTTCATGTCTTTTAAAACTGTTCTTCATTTTGGGAGTTCATTTCTCTTTCTTGACATGCATACGGGGGTTTTATTTAAAAAAGAACTCCAGGAATTACAAAACTAACCCTTGCAGTGGAGCTACCCAAGTACTACAAGGGTTAATTGCTCATTTTTGTCTGGGGGGGCTCAAATTAAACTGTATTTACTCACCTGATCTTTAGTCCTGTCTGGCTGCTAGATCAGTCCCCACAGCCTCTTCTTCCCCGGGCTACGGCAGTCTAAGGATCCGTGATGTCATCATGCCTAATGCAGGTTCATTGACTTGCATTAGACATGAGGAAGTAGAGGGACATTCCACAACTGGAGTGCGGGGAGAGAGGTGAGCGCTGACTGCCGCAGGACCAGGGATCAGCTGAGTATATCTTCTTTATTTTAGCCCCTAGACCAAAACAAGCACTTAACCCTTGCAGTGCAGGGGTAGCCCCACTGTAAGGGTGAGTTTTTCTTTACTAAGTTTCCTCCTGAAGAAAGGTCCTCCTACTTATTAAGCTGGTTCTGTTAAAAGTTCGGAGTTATCAAAGTCTATATTGCAGCGAGACACAGTCAGCATATTGTGTTTAGTTATAAGATTCCTATCCAGACATTAGTTCAATAAGCTTTGTGTGTGCTTTGCAACCATAAACCTGAGAGGTCTACTAAGCAAAACAAAGATTTAGCTTGCCATTAACTCTTAGTACCATCTATTATTCACACAAGAAGAATTAGAAAATGATATCTGCATTGGCAGCTTCTAAGTTCAGCTGCAACTCAGCACACAGCAGCGAGACTCCACTGCTTCCCATGCTTAAGGTAGAGCTAAAGCCAAAAACATTTGAATAGAATGGGAAAGAGTTAGAACAGGGGTGAGCAACATTGGCACTGTTGTAGAACTACAAGTCCCAAAAGGCATTGCAAGACTCCACATAAATACAGAAAAATTACCCTTTAAATCTGGACAATGCTGCTGGGTTTGTGGGTAAAAATGTCTTTCTGTGTCTGGATTTACATATGACAATGATGAGTCATTAATAAAGGTTGCACTTTATCCCTCTAATAAGGAAGTAGGGGCAGAGCAGAGAAAACGGTCTTCTGGCAGGGCCGGCTGGGTTCACACCTAGGCGTATCGAATATGCACGTTTGTCGCGCGTTTCGTGACGCACGTTTTTACCGGTTGTATCCCAATGGAAACGCGTGACAAAAACGCCCCAAAGAAGCTCCTGTACTTCTTTTGGGTGTAGGGCGTTTTGTAGCGCGTTCATACGGCCTGTAATACGCCCAGGTGTGAACCATACCCATAGGAAATAATGGGATTTCGGTATTTGAGCATTTTGCAGAGCGTTCGAACGCGCTACAAAACGCCCAGGTGTGAACCAGGCCTGAGGGATAGCATTACGTACAATGCAAATAAAAAGAAATGATCAGGGCAAAGCAATGTGATAAACTTCACAGTGCTGCATGTATCATTGTACTGCACTTATCACTATCGCCTCCTAACCTTTTCCCACACCACTTCTGCTAAATGTGAGCTGCTGGGGGTGTTGATTTTAGTCCTTATCTGTTTGATTTCACCTTACTGCCTGTTAAGCACTCTAGCCTGTTTTTAATTACCTGTCTAACAGGGTTAGGGAGCAAATGAATCAGAATAATTTATAACGGGGGATGAAGGCAACGTAAATAAAAGCTGCTCTCTTGATGTCAGTTGTAAATAAAAAACTTTCCTACTTTCAGAGATGATTTAAATCTCTGGCACTGACCAGATTTTTTTCGAACAATATCAATCAGTGAGCTGTAAACGTGGACTGTTAGTAAAATGAATAGGCCTGCTACACAAAATATCTGTCTGTCCCAGTACCCCCCCTCCCCTTGTAACCATATCTTCATGCCCATCCTCTCCACATCCCCCCATACATTCCTCTTTATCTTTTTATTTTCTGTCTCTTCTTTTCTTCTCTACAGAAATCTTATTCTGGACCATAGTAGTTCTCTCTATTTGCTGATGCTCTTATTAATATTTCCTTACACGATATATGCTTTTTAATCTTAACAGGATGGCCGGGAGAAATTTTCCTTCTCCATTCACTTCATGTAACCTGTGGTATTCAAGTTCAAGGAATTAGAAGTTCTCCATGTCCACTTATACTGAAGTCACAGTTCTATTTCCGACATGTGCGCCAAATTCAGGTCGCTTTTATGTACGTGACTTTTACATTCTGGTATTATGGCTGTGACAAATTCACTAAGAAATACTGCCATATCAGTGATAAGAAAAGTGGAGGAAAATAAGACATCTTCCACGTCCCAAATTAGATCACATGTGTTCATATTGTGTCACAAGCAAACATTTTGTCTGAAGCAATTCTGCAACAGATTTATATACCCCTTACCAACAGTTGCATGAATCTATCACAAGTTGGGCAATTTGTTGCACAGACGGAAAACAGACTTCTAATGAGCGTCTATGAATTCCAGGGATTGAATATTGGGATATGGTAAGAATGTATTCACTGGACTTGTAAAGTTACTGAGAGGTCTGCTTTAACATTAAACTCAGTAACATGTTGTAGTTCCATCTGGCGTTCACCACAGATTGTTACAATAGGGAAATGTTTTAGGTCAAAGTAGAGGACCAAGCAAGCAGCTAAATATACAATTAAATATAATATATATATATACAGGTGAAACTCGAATAATTAGAATATCGTGCAAAGTTCCTTTATTTCACTAATGACTTCACCTGCCAAAATATGAATAATTCCTTTGAACCACACTTGTGAGTCTTCTATCCTATTGCACAGTAAGCAATAGACACTTAGCAGCTAATAAAGCTTCCTGATGTCACTTGCCTACACACTGGACAATAAATCAGTATGATCATGTTAGATGGTCTCAACCCTGCTGAGCAGTTGACTGTGGAAAGATATTATAAAGACGCATTTCTAACAATTATGCTAGTTATATTTAAAAATTCTGTGATGATTTTGTAATTAATACATTAACTGTACTGAAGGTTGCGTTTATCTGTGCTTGGAGTTCTCAACATACTGGAACAAAGGATTGCAAAGTTCTGAGAATCTGTATTTTGGAATATTTGTCAATTAATTTGCAATTTTTGATACCTTCCAGAATGATTAAAGAATCAAATGGTATGGAACAAATATAGTCATTCCTATCAGCATTAATGACCTCACTGGCTAGCCAGTCTTCCACTGGAATCTGCGTAATTTAGCCTTCTGTGATCACTCTGTAGCTGGGCTGACACTACATCCAGAGGTTCAGCAGCTAGGATGCATGATCACACTATACAGGTGCAGTCATGTATGGATCATTTGTTTACCTATTATAAATACCCACCCCTTTATGCTATCAGACAAGAAAACTCTGTAATATAAGGGCAAACCTAAACGATCCACTCAATTTGCATCAAAATAGGCCAGTCCTTGCTCTACATAGTTGATGGCAGATCTAAAGGACACTGCACCATCAGATTGTAGTGTATTACCAGGTTTAAATTATCAGGGCAGCCACATTTAGGAACCCATTCACACTTGCAAATAGGGCTGATTGAATGAGGCTTACGAACTGCTCTTTGGGACTCATGTGAGCAGCTGCGGCCTGAGAATCGCTGTACAAAGAAGCAATTGTCCGCAAGTAATCACGCAATATACAATTACATGCGAACAACTGTGAATGGCTGCACACGTTGTCATTGCTTTGTACAGTGCTTTCCTTCTGCAGTCATTTCTGAGACTCATCCAAACGACCACATTTGCAAGGGTGAATGGGCCTAAAGATCACATCTAGCTTTTAGATACATGTCACCCAGTTTTAGTTACACTTAAACAATGAAAAGTAATTCTGCTCTATAGTTATGATGTATCTTTTTACATGAGCTACCTCTGTTGAGAACAGAACATGAATAACGATGACTAAAGCACTTGTGCAATACTCATCGGGAATATACAAGTTTGGCCAGAATATATAAGAAATGTAGTAATAGACTGAATGTTTAATTGACAGAACTAGTGTAAAATGTTATGGTGAGATGGGTGTAATATTTTCTGGCATCTTCTCCGCAGATCTAAGTGCTTTTTCTCCCATAGTTTCTAATATTCCCTCTTTCAAAAAGAGGAACCTATTGAAATTCAAATGATTTAAAAATAATGGTACAGTTGCATTAGAATTTTTTTCATTCCATCTTTTCTGTGCCAAGGCTTAGATGGGAATTACTGACTGACTGAGAAGAGTTAACAAGGACACAATGAGCAATGAATAAAATGGACAGCTAACGAGCTATGTAAAAAAACAGCATTCTCCCTGTTATGTGTCAAAAGCTTTGTATTAAACAGAGAGGCAGCTATAAAAAGATAAGCGAGCCCAGTAATAATATTACATTGGAGTCTAATGTGGGTGATATCATTGCAGAGATGGAACAGGTGGAGGGCTCTGTGTTTGCAGAATGAGACCACAACATCAGCAGAACAAGAAAGAGAAGAAATAATTCCCGCAACATTTCACAGCAAATCCTATAGCTGTGCCCATACTTAACTGCATGGGTTATAAAGAAAGTAAGTATGCAAGTAAATACACTGTATTCTAGCTCATATTATGTAATACATTATTTATATATGCTCTATATTAGGTAATAAAAGATGCCTTTGTAATGCACAAAGTTTCATTACATTACTTGAAGAAACCTTCACTGAGTTTCCTTACAATCTGGACTGTACGAATTTCAGAACAGATTTCTCATTTCAGAGTTTTCTTCCCCACATTAAACCATAGGCTTGTTATAGCTACTGACATGCCCATATTTAAAGGTGGTTTCCATATAAAAGAGGTTTCCATATACAGGAGGTTTCCATGTAAAGTGGATAAAGTCTACCAGAACTCTGCAAAAATCTTACTACCCAATTTTAGTAAAGTTACAGCTTGCAAAATACTCAAAAGACCTTGATATGTGAACTTTATTACTAAGTACTAAGTCCGCCCTAACCCCCTTGTTTCTCTATTGTGTCTTTCTCCCTCTGTTGATGTAACAAAATTCAACACATGCACAGTAGAAAAGGATCTGATGCGGCTTCAACAAGTAAACCTAGCCTTGCAAGAGAACAGAGATCTATGCTGAAATCATCCCGTCATAGGTGCTGTTTACATCCCAGCACACCAGGATGTTGAGCATATGCAATGAACTACACCCAGTGACGTCACCGGGAGCAAAAAAAAGAAAAAGCGAGAAACAAAAAGGCTTTGGTAGATGAGGATGACAGCTAAAAATAGGAAGTACATAATGCTTTTAAATTAAGACAACTTCCGAAGATGACTTTACTTCCAGTATTAAAGTTCATATTTTTTCTTCAGGGACTTCTTTTCAGCATAGTAGCCCCACAATATAGCTGGCTATTTTCTGAGCCAAGACCTATTTGTTTCATTGGGAATCACATAATGTAGATATATTGTTATGTCCCCAAATTCTGAGATGATCAAATCAGATATTGAAGTATTCATGGTGACATCAGCATTCAGGACTGCACACATGTATAGATCTCATATGGCTCCCACTGATAACTGGGCGGAGTCCATAAAAGAGCCAAGCTGGAGTAAACAAAAAAACCCAAATATACTATGTATATACGCTAAATAAAACTCATCTGCATGTTAGTGCAAAAGTGGTCCTGTTTCCTTCATTACCTTACCTTTTATAAAGAACGATTCTGCACTGAAGTGCAACAAGACAAGAAGGGCTCCCCTTCTTCTGAACAAGCTATTGTTGAACCCTGAATTTTGGTGATTGGCTCCTCTGGCAGAGATTGTGGGATGCAGCGTTACATGCTCTGTTTTTTTACCTTGCATAACAATGCAAAGTCAGGCACCTTAAAGTGCTTGAAACTAAACAGTGGCATTGATTTTTATACCTAGTACCAAGTCACTAAAGCTGGCCTTACACTGGTAGATTTTCATATAAACATTCAAATTTACATTTTGGAAACGTAACGAAAAACACATTTGCAGTCCGAATTTAATTCATTTGAGAAAAAAACTCTACTTTGCTATCACTATGGTTGAAAATGATTGTCAATGTGACCCCTTTTTACTATTAGCAAATCGAAAAAACGTTGAGATCATTTTTTTGTACAAAATTCTACTGGTGTATGGCCAGCTCTAAGCCTTTCTCTTATGAGTCACAATTGACTATACTAAACATGTCATGCTGTAAAGAAAACTAGTACTAGGTATGCTACATTTTGTGTTATTGACCATATTTTGCAGCAATAAGTTCCAGGTGAGCTTCTAGACATTTTCCCTGAAGTGACCACAGCCAAAAAATCTTTTGTCTCTGGTCGCTTGGTTCCTAAAGAGAAATAAAGGAAGCTGCGGGAAGAAGAAGGACTCATATTACTGCCATTAAGGGATCACAATTTGTTTAGATTTTATTTTTACATCCCAGTAAATCTTTAATTACAAGCTTTCGGGGGCTGAAACACACATCCAGTTCTATGCATAGCCACTAGAGCTGTATAGCCAGACACAGTCTGTGGTTGTTCCCCTACATGTGACCAGAATGCTGTTGAATTAGCTAAACTGATAATTGCACACATTCCTATATAGCACATAATTAAAGATATAGATAGTATATTCAACTCACCTGGTGGAAGATGAGAGCCTGAGAGATATAGCCCCAACTATGGCCTGGAGACCAGTAATGTAGGCACAGGAGTAGGAGTAACATAAAGACTATGCTAGCAGATGCATAGATTTGGTTGATAAGGAACATCATGGTGACGCATCCCACAATTCCAAGGATACAGGTGTACCAAGTGAAGTAACGGAATGTTGGCCTGGGTATAGGTAGAGAAAAATAGGACACATTTGTCAGGCTATAGACCGTGTTATGATATATCACATTTTGATAATGATGAATAATGAATTACTTTCTGTAGTAATATAAAGTGTAAAAAAAAGTAAAATTAAGTGTAAAAAATGTTCTGTCTGCTTTGTATTTATTTTAGATAATAGTAGACGTATTTTTATTTTAAATTACAATAATTATCAAGGTTTACTGGATTCACTTTATGATGACACGAAGAAGAACTTCACACATAACGGAAAACTAATTTTTCGGTAGAATTTGGTGAACCGGAGCATCCAGTGTACTACTATTTGCTACAGCAACTCTAAGGCCCATGTCACACCAGCAATCCTGTTGTGGCATGAACCTACCAGCAAAAGGATTGCTAAAATGTGCAGGGAAAACATTCACTTGCTTGTATGTGTAATCCCCCCACTGGTTGTATGAGTGAGGCATCACTCTCTTGCTGACAAAAACTATAAAGAATGTAAGGTGCCAGCAAGAAAGTGACACGAATTAGTAAAGCAGTAAAACATACAATTAGGTTAGGGCTTCATTTCCCCACTGTGTCATGCACAGCTAGGGTTTCCACCTGGTCAACAGGAAAGAAACCATAAGGCAATGCGGTAACCCTATGCATGGCAAGTAGGCAGATGCGACTACACCACTGGATTGGACCACACCAATGTTATGGCCAAATTGCCATTTGCTGAAGAATATTACATGGGCCAAAGTGCCAGGAAATGCCAGAATCTATTAAGAAACTAACAACTCCTCTCTTCTGGGGATTGGGGGAAGTCACTTTGTTTTAGTGACCATTGTTACTGGGACTGAAAGTGAGAGAGTATATAACATTTTGAGTTGTTACTGGATCAGAAATAGCAGGAAATTTTGCAATGGAGCCAGTGGCGGAACTACCGCCATAGCGACCCATGCGGGCGCTATGGGAAGGACCAGCTGACAGAGTGTTGGAATTCTTCGCCTTTTGCTGGTCATTTATTTCAATGTCGAAAAAGTGGGCGTGATTACGTTAAAATGTGTGACCACGTGACCGGTCACAATCTTTGATAGAACACCGGTGTTGGCGATTACACTGCTGAGAGGGGAGGGGGCGTGGCTGCGGTGCCATTGTCTTCAATGCACCACCACGCCCCAGAACGCAGGGGGGGG